TCTGTCCCTTCCGCCGATAACTGGCCTAAGCCACACACCTCCCTGTCCTAGCCACCGATAACTGGCCTCAGCCACACACCTCCCTGTCCTAGCCGCCGATAACTGGCCTCAGTCACACACCTCCCTGTCCTAGTCACCGATAACTGGCCTCAGTCACACACCTCTGTCCCTTCCACCGATAACTGGCCTCAGCCACACACCTCCCTGTCCTAGCCGCCGATAACTGGCCTCAGCCACACACCTCCCTGTCCTAGCCACCGATAACTGGCCTCAGCCACACACCTCCCTGTCCTAGCCGCCGATAACTGGCCTCAGTCACACACCTCCCTGTCCTAGTCACCGATAACTGGCCTCAGTCACACACCTCTGTCCCTTCCACCGATAACTGGCCTCAGCCACACACCTCCCTGTTCTAGCCGCCGATAACTGGCCTCAGCCACACACCTGTCCCTTCCACCGATAACTGGCCTCGGTCACACACCTCCCTGTCCTAGCCGCCGATAACTGGCCTCAGCCACACACCTCCCTGTCCCTTCCACCGATAACTGGCCTCAGCCACAAACCTCCCTGTCCTAGCCGCCGATAACTGGCCTCAGCCACACACCTGTCCCTTCCACCGATAACTGGCCTCAGCCACACACCTGTCCCTTCCACCGATAATTGGCCTCAGTTACACACCTCTGTCCCTTCCGCCGATAACTGGCCTCAGCCACACACCTCCCTGTCCTAGCCACCGATAACTGGCCTCAGCCACACACCTCCCTGTCCTAGCCGCCGATAACTGGCCTCAGTCACACACCTCCCTGTCCTAGTCACCGATAACTGGCCTCAGTCACACACCTCTGTCCCTTCCACCGATAACTGGCCTCAGCCACACACCTCCCTGTCCTAGCCGCCGATAACTGGCCTCAGCCACACACCTCCCTGTCCTAGCCACCGATAACTGGCCTCAGCCACACACCTCCCTGTCCTAGCCGCCGATAACTGGCCTCAGTCACACACCTCCCTGTCCTAGTCACCGATAACTGGCCTCAGTCACACACCTCTGTCCCTTCCACCGATAACTGGCCTCAGCCACACACCTGTCCCTTCCACCGATAACTGGCCTCGGTCACACACCTCCCTGTCCTAGCCGCCGATAACTGGCCTCAGCCACACACCTCCCTGTCCCTTCCACCGATAACTGGCCTCAGCCACACACCTCCCTGTCCTAGCCGCCGATAACTGGCCTCAGCCACACACCTGTCCCTTCCACCGATAACTGGCCTCAGCCACACACCTCCCTGTTCTAGCCGCCGATAACTGGCCTCAGCCACACACCTCCCTGTCCTAGCCGCCGATAACTGGCCTCAGTCACACACCTCCCTGTCCTAGTCACCGATAACTGGCCTCAGTCACACACCTCCCTGTCCCTTCCACCGATAACTGGCCTCAGCCACACACCTCCCTGTCCTAGTCACCGATAACTGGCCTCAGCCACACACCTGTCCCTTCCACCGATAACTGGCCTCAGCCACACACCTCCCTGTCCCTTCCACCGATAACTGGCCTCGGTCACACACCTCCCTGTCCTAGCCGCCGATAACTGGCCTCAGCCACACACCTCCCTGTCCTAGCCACCGATAACTGGCCTCGGTCACACACCTCCCTGTCCTAGCCGCCGATAACTGGCCTCAGCCACACACCTCCCTGTCCTAGCCACCGATAACTGGCCTCGGTCACACACCTCCCTGTCCCTTCCACCGATAACTGGCCTCGGTCACACACCTCCCTGTCCTAGCCGCCGATAACTGGCCTCAGTTACACACCTCTGTCCCTTCCACCGATAACTGGCCTCAGCCACACACCTCCCTGTCCTAGTCACCGATAACTGGCCTCAGCCTGTCCCTTCCACCGATAACTGGCCTCAGCCACACACCTGTCCCTTCCACCGATAACTGGCCTCAGCCACACACCTCCCTGTCCCTTCCACCGATAACTGGCCTCAGCCACACACCTCCCTGTCCTAGCCACCGATAACTGGCCTCAGCCACACACCTCCCTGTTCTAGCCGCCGATAACTGGCCTCAGCCACACACCTCCCTGTCCTAGCCGCCGATAACTGGCCTCAGCCACACACCTCCCTGTCCTAGCCACCGATAACTGGCCTCAGCCACACACCTCCCTGTCCTAGCCGCCGATAACTGGCCTCAGCCACACACCTGTCCCTTCCACCGATAACTGGCCTCAGCCACACACCTCCCTGTTCTAGCCGCCGATAACTGGCCTCAGCCACACACCTCCCTGTCCTAGCCACCGATAACTGGCCTCAGCCACACACCTCCCTGTCCTAGCCGCCGATAACTGGCCTCAGCCACACACCTGTCCCTTCCACCGATAACTGGCCTCAGCCACACACCTCCCTGTTCTAGCCGCCGATAACTGGCCTCAGCCACACACCTCCCTGTCCTAGTCACCGATAACTGGCCTCAGCCACACACCTGTCCCTTCCACCGATAACTGGCCTCAGCCACACACCTCCCTGTCCTAGCCGCCGATAACTGGCTTCAGTCACACACCTCCCTGTCCTAGTCACCGATAACTGGCCTCAGTCACACACCTCCCTGTCCCTTCCACCGATAACTGGCCTCAGCCACACACCTCCCTGTCCTAGTCACCGATAACTGGCCTCAGCCACACACCTGTCCCTTCCACCGATAACTGGCCTCAGCCACACACCTGTCCCTTCCACCGATAACTGGCCTCAGCCACACACCTCCCTGTCCCTTCCACCGATAACTGGCCTCAGCCACACACCTCCCTGTCCTAGCCACCGATAACTGGCCTCAGCCACACACCTCCCTGTTCTAGCCGCCGATAACTGGCCTCAGCCACACACCTCCCTGTCCTAGCCGCCGATAACTGGCCTCAGCCACACACCTCCCTGTCCTAGCCACCGATAACTGGCCTCAGCCACACACCTCCCTGTCCTAGCCGCCGATAACTGGCCTCAGCCACACACCTGTCCCTTCCACCGATAACTGGCCTCAGCCACACACCTCCCTGTTCTAGCCGCCGATAACTGGCCTCAGCCACACACCTCCCTGTCCTAGCCGCCGATAACTGGCCTCAGCCACACACCTGTCCCTTCCACCGATAACTGGCCTCAGCCACACACCTCCCTGTTCTAGCCGCCGATAACTGGCCTCAGCCACACACCTCCCTGTCCTAGCCGCCGATAACTGGCCTCAGTCACACACCTCCCTGTCCTAGTCACCGATAACTGGCCTCAGTCACACACCTCTGTCCCTTCCACCGATAACTGGCCTCGGTCACACACCTCCCTGTTCTAGCCGCCGATAACTGGCCTCAGCCACACACCTCCCTGTCCTAGCCGCCGATAACTGGCCTCAGTCACACACCTCCCTGTCCTAGTCACCGATAACTGGCCTCAGTCACACACCTCCCTGTCCCTTCCACCGATAACTGGCCTCAGCCACACACCTCCCTGTCCTAGTCACCGATAACTGGCCTCAGCCACACACCTGTCCCTTCCACCGATAACTGGCCTCAGCCACACACCTCCCTGTCCCTTCCACCGATAACTGGCCTCGGTCACACACCTCCCTGTCCTAGCCGCCGATAACTGGCCTCAGCCACACACCTCCCTGTCCTAGCCACCGATAACTGGCCTCGGTCACACACCTCCCTGTCCTAGCCGCCGATAACTGGCCTCAGCCACACACCTCCCTGTCCTAGCCACCGATAACTGGCCTCGGTCACACACCTCCCTGTCCCTTCCACCGATAACTGGCCTCGGTCACACACCTCCCTGTCCTAGCCGCCGATAACTGGCCTCAGTTACACACCTCTGTCCCTTCCACCGATAACTGGCCTCAGCCACACACCTCCCTGTCCTAGTCACCGATAACTGGCCTCAGCCTGTCCCTTCCACCGATAACTGGCCTCAGCCACACACCTGTCCCTTCCACCGATAACTGGCCTCAGCCACACACCTCCCTGTCCCTTCCACCGATAACTGGCCTCAGCCCACACCTCCCTGTCCTAGCCACCGATAACTGGCCTCAGCCACACACCTCCCTGTTCTAGCCGCCGATAACTGGCCTCAGCCACACACCTCCCTGTCCTAGCCGCCGATAACTGGCCTCAGCCACACACCTCCCTGTCCTAGCCACCGATAACTGGCCTCAGCCACACACCTCCCTGTCCTAGCCGCCGATAACTGGCCTCAGCCACACACCTGTCCCTTCCACCGATAACTGGCCTCAGCCACACACCTCCCTGTCCTAGCCACCGATAACTGGCCTCAGCCACACACCTCCCTGTCCTAGCCGCCGATAACTGGCCTCAGCCACACACCTGTCCCTTCCACCGATAACTGGCCTCAGCCACACACCTCCCTGTTCTAGCCGCCGATAACTGGCCTCAGCCACACACCTCCCTGTCCTAGTCACCGATAACTGGCCTCAGCCACACACCTGTCCCTTCCACCGATAACTGGCCTCAGCCACACACCTCCCTGTCCTAGCCGCCGATAACTGGCTTCAGTCACACACCTCCCTGTCCTAGTCACCGATAACTGGCCTCAGTCACACACCTCCCTGTCCCTTCCACCGATAACTGGCCTCAGCCACACACCTCCCTGTCCTAGTCACCGATAACTGGCCTCAGCCACACACCTGTCCCTTCCACCGATAACTGGCCTCAGCCACACACCTGTCCCTTCCACCGATAACTGGCCTCAGTTACACACCTCTGTCCCTTCCACCGATAATTGGCCTCAGTTACACACCTCTGTCCCTTCCACCGATAACTGGCCTCGGTCACACACCTCCCTGTCCTAGCCGCCGATAACTGGCCTCAGTTACACACCTCCCTGTCCCTTCCACCGATAACTGGCCTCAGCCACATACCTCCCTGTCCTAGCCGCCGATAACTGGCCTCAGTCACACACCTCCCTGTCCTAGCCGCCGATAACTGGTCTCGGTCACACACCACACTGTGGTAACAAAGCATGTATTGAGGACTCGTGGTGTCCTGAGAGTTTCATACGACCACAGAGCGGTACGCCGCGTAACATCGTATCACTGTGGCGGCACTTAGACTCGCCCGGCCACCGACCGTTGGCTATAGTACGCAGACTGCACCGCGCATCTAGTGAGCATGGGAAACTGGGAACTCAAACACACACACCAAACAAGAACATCAATGGCCAATGGAGGCGTCCCTCGACTGATAGACGCGTGAAATTCATGCAGGATAATCAAAATGTGGCATACATTATGAGCAGTGAGCACGCAGTTTGCTTGGTTGACATTTCCGTGAGTGATATAATGCTTGACGCCAGACGAAATGGGGCACTATGTGCCGGATGATGGGATAAATGAGCACAGCTTGCACTGGGGTCCAATAAGCTGTCCATTCCAGCAGGGCCCGCGCCGAAACAGGCGGCCGTCGGGCGGCCCTCAGCGATAGGGGGATGTCTGAACGCTGCTATTCTGATCACTGCTGCCAGCCCTCCGACCACTGCTGTACTGAGCTCGGCCCTCCGACTGCTGCTGTCGGCCCTCCGACTCCCGCCAACAGTTCTCTCCGCGGGTATCCAGCACTCACAACAGAGGGTAGGTACCGCCGTGGTGCAGCATGTAACAGCGCCGCCAGTACCCGGCCGGCGGCCACCCCAGCAGCGTGTGTCCGCTCTGCCGGGCGGCCCCGCCCCCGCCCCCGCCCCCGCCCCGGTCGTCGGGCGCACACCCCGCAGTCCTCGACCGCCCACGGCGGCCCGCCGCCCGGGCCCCGCTCACTTTTTGTTGACATCGATGAGCCCCTTGACCTTGAGTTTGTCGGCGGTGCTGAGGAGGGCGGGCAGCTGGTCCTGGCCGACGTTCACCTCGCCGGCGTACATGAACTCGAGGATGGCCTGCAGGTGGCCGAACGGCACGTCCTTCAGAATGATGATCGGGTGCTTGGACGGGTTCTCCTGCGCATCGGACGGCCCAGTCACCACAGAGCGACACACGGAGACGGGGTGATACTTGGGTAACATACGGGGGCACCGGGCGAGTGTAACAGTACTAGGGTAACACACGGGGACGGGGTGACGCTTGGGTAACACACGGGGATGGGGTGGACCTTGGGTAACACACGGGGATGGGGTGACCCAGCATATCAGGCCCATAGACAAATCCAAAGTCCCTGCCAAGACCTCCCGAGTCCCGGACCGACCTCGAGCAGGTTCTTGAAGAAGGGCGAGCAGGCGGAGAGGACCATTTTGTGCGCTTTGCACGTCTGACCCTCGCAGGCGATCGTCACGTCCAGAAAGTTTTTCTCTGTGCGCAGGTGTTTGAAGGAGGACACCATGTTGGTCTGGAAGTCGTTCCATCTCAGGCAGTACTGCTGGCTGGCCATGGCGGCTGTGGGCGGCTGTGGGCGGCGACGGGAGGCAGTTGTACGATGGGCGCCTGATGTCCGGCCGTCAGCTGCGGCCTACGGGTGGCACAAACACAGGAAACTCACATAGTAAATAGGGCTGACAGTTGGCTGTTCATATCTCGTGGATAACCAGGCATTCCTTTCAGTGGTGCAAAGTAGCCCACAGTACTCAAACATTTGACTTTTATTCAAATCATGAAATGCAGCAACAGTAAGGGTGGCAGCCCATTGCTTTGAAACATGGGGCTGGAATACCTACACCCTTCATTCAGGTGTAAATCAATGAACACTACATTCTAGTGAAAATAGCTTATGGACATTGTTTGGCTGAAATATAAGCTTAGCACCATATCTGAAGTCTGAACAGAAGCCAGTTTTATTGACAAAAAAAAAATAGCCACCTGCAGTTATTTTTTGCCATCCCCCCAAATTTTGTAAGCCATGCTGGAGAAGTGGCTACTGATGCGAAAAATGAAATGACCTTAAAATTGGGTGTCATTGGCTTCCTCTCGTGACGGGCAACACGCTCGTTTTTGCCGTGAAGCTCTAGCTCCATCAGGGGCCAAACACAAGGGGATGGGGGTCGTACCCTTGTGCCATTGGACTCAAAATGGCCTGTGCCGGCGAGGGTTAAATAATTGTTAAGCTATGGGGCAAGAGAAAAATACAGGCACCCTTAGAAGTCAAGAGCCAATTATAACAATAATACTTCCTAAATGATAAAAAAACCATGGTCAAACTACTTAGAAGATTGAGATTAAGAAATTCAAGCAAAGAGAAAGCAAAACAGGTGTAAAACACTTCAAGCAGCTCGTATTCTACAAGGTACAAGGTTGAATATCTTGAAGAATCTTAAGAAAACCTTTGTGTGACGTCCGCTCTACTAATGCCGAAGGCAAGGCCCTATATACCAGGGTATATAGAACAACCTATATGCCGCCGAAGTTCGATACTAGCGTCTAACCCAAGACCGTCTCAATCTGTAGTAGGTAGGTGCCAAAGCTCATATAGAACTATAGAACTCTATAGTACTGACGGTATATACCAGGGTATATTGAGTGTATACTGTATATACTGCCTTGGTACTACTACTGACCTTTTACTTTGTTACCGGCTGTCTCTTGCTGTCTTCTCAATTCAAATTAATATATTGGTTTATGGCCCCTTGGCCGTAATATCCTGGTAATATCTCCAGTCTCCAATGGTACGCACTTGGTACGCACGGCTTGCGCACGGCACGGAAAATTTCTTTTCACTAGCAGCATCAACAAGTAAGCAAAAAATACACGAATATCTTTGCGGCTCGCATGACAGTTTGCAATAGCAGGCGCGGATTGGTCCAGCTTCTGTGACGTATTTGAGGGTGTCAGGACCTGGCGCCTTGGCCCAATGGCCTCAATCGTGGACTAGGGCGTAAGGGACTAGGGCGTAAGGGACTAGGGCGTGGACTAGGAACTAGGGCGTAAGCAGTAAGCACGGCGTAAGTTCCGCTAGGTGCGAAAAGAAATTGATTAAAATAATGTGACTAACAAGGTATTCAAGGCCTCAGTGCTACGCTTCATAGTCTTCACTTAGTTCCACGTAAAGAAAAAAACGGAGCGTGGCCTGGGTCATCTTGTGAAAATAATTATACAATACAAGTAATACACTGAATACCTATATGCATGATATTTTATACCGCATCTTACAGAAGGAGGCATTCAGTGTTCCAATAATAACAAACAACAGTCACTTTCAATAGATTTGCTTCAGTCAGCATACATTCCAATGGTCCACTAGGATTCGTGTAGGTATACAAAGATATAAAATGAAGAGTCATCGGACGCAGACCCTGTTTCCCACCAATGCAGCGCGGGGTTGCCGCTCAGTCCGTCCTGGAAGACAGGCCTCTGGGCTGCGCTGACGGTCACCCCGGTGCCAGTTCACCTCCCCCCTCTCCTCCTGGCTCACTACAGTTGGGCAGCGCCAACGCCAGCTGTTACACAGCAGCCCGCAGGGCGCAGGGAGGTCATATTCCGTATCCGCCGGTGACCTCGACACTGGCTCCTGTCATGTAGGAGGCGCGGTCAGAGGCCAGGAAGGCGGCCAGCTCGGCCACCTCCTCGGGCCGGCCGGGCCGACCGAGCACGATCAGCGGCACCAGCAGCTTCATCACCTTCTCCGGCACGGCCGCCACCATCGGCGTGTCGATGAAGCCCGGCAGGATGGCGTTGCACCGGATCCCCTTCCGACCGAGCTCCTTGGCGGCCGTGCGTGTGAAGCCCTCCACCCCGGCCTTGCTGGCCGCGTAGTTCCCCTGGCCGATGTTGCCGCCCTTACCAACGATACTGGCGATGTTGACGATCGAGCCGCCGACTTTGGCCTCGATCATGGCGTTTGAGGTGAGTTTTGTCACCAAGAACGTGCCCTTGAGGTTGACGTCGACCACCCGCATGAACGTCTCCACGCTCATGTCTTTGAGCATACTGTCAGCGGTGATTCCGGCGCAGTTGACGACGCAGTCTGCCGGCGCGCCGTAGCGGTCCCGCACGCCGCGCACCACGGCCGCCACCGACTCCTCGCTCGTCACGTCCAGCGGCACGCCCACGTGCTCGGCGCTCGCCAGCAGCGCGGCCGTCTCCTTGGCCGAGGCCTCGTTCAGATCTGCGGCCACGACGCGGGCGCCCTCTCGAGCCATCACCTGGCAGACGGCCCGGCCGATGCCGGAGCCGCCGCCAGTCACCAGCGCCAGTTTACCAGACAGCATCGCTCTGAAACAGAAGTGCGTCCAGTAGGTACAGCCCTCTGCAAACTGCGTGGTAGTTATTCTTTTTTCGACAAAACCAAGAATAACGCGAATGCTATGCTATCGGACACTCGGAAATTGTAACAGCAAGACGCGCCAGACTCTGCACTCTGTTCCGTTGTCACTGAACCAGGGACAACTAAACCAGTGACAGCTGAACCAGTGACAACTGAACCAGTGACAACTGAACCAGGGACAACTGAACCAGGGACAACTGAACCAGGGACAACTGAACCAGTGACAGCTGAACCAGGGACAACTGAACCAGTGACAACTGAACCAGTGGACCACTGAACCAGTGGACAACTGAACCAGTGGACAACTGAACCAGTGGACAACTGAACCAGTAGACAACTGAACCAGTGACAACTGAGCCAGTGACAGCTGAACCAGTGACAATTCTGAACCAGTGACAACTGAACCAGTGTGACAACTGAACCAGTATGACAACTGAACCAGTGGACAACTGAACCAGTGACAACTAACCAGTAGCCCAGCAAGCAATTTTACTCCGGGCCCAAGCAGGCTGAAGTGCAGCTTGCCCAAGATTTTTAGTCGGCCTAAAGACGGCTATAGCGACTAGCGCTTGGACTAAAGTCGGCTAGCGCTTGGGCTAAAGACTAACCCCGCCTTCGATGTCTCTCGGACGACGAAGATTCTACGTCGTCCGGCCAATCACGTTCCATAACCGCAGCCGAGCCCCCGCTGACCTTGACGGGATTGGCCGGACGACGTAGAATCTTCGTCGTCCGAGAGACATCGAACGCGGGGTAAAGTCGGCGTATGACACAAAAACGCCGACTAAAGCCCATGCTCTGCCGGAGGTATGCCCTCTGAGCCTCTCGGCGAGCTCAGGACAGCCGTTGTTTAGCCCTAGTTGTGCGACGTTTGGCGTAAGCCCGATGTAAGCCCGAGCAGTGAATCCACTTTTATATACCGGAGATTCCTCTGGGCCCAGGCGGGCTGAGCTCTGCCAAGCCCACCGTTGCGTGTCCTGTCTGTCCCGAGTTAGGCCATCAAAGTGAATATTATTTATGCGTTGCTAACTATTCGGGCGTCCCAGGTGGGCGTGGGCGTAACGGTTACCATTCGCGACCACCAGGCTCTGTCAGCCCTGTCAGCCGTCTTACGGCTCTCGGACGGACACTCTAAAAGATCGGACACAGATCAATTGGCAGACCGGCAGATTGGCACAGACCGTCCGTCCAGCCACGCGCTACCTTATACCCATACAGCGCAGTACGACATTAGTTGTCCACTGGTGACTGGTTCAGTTGTCACTGGTTCAGTGGTCCACTGGTTCAGTCGTCCACTGGTTCAGTTGCCATACTGGTTCAGTTGTCCACTGGTTCAGTTGTCACTGGTTCAGTTGTCACTGGTTCAGTTGTCATACTGGTTCAGTTGTCACTGGTTCAGTTGTCACTGGTTCAGTTGTCGCTGGTTCAGTTGTCGCTGGTTCAGTTGTCACTGGCTCAGTTGTCCCTGGTTCAGTTTTACTGGTTCCGTTGTCACTGGTTCAGTTGTCCGCCTACCGTCCGAGAGACATCGAACGTGAGGTAAATGGACCGGAACGATCATACCCCTTCTGGCGTCATGGAGGCTGCCATATGCCAAAGGTTCGGTTTAAAGGGACCCTCCCACCTTAACATTAGTTTTGAGTTGAGATAGCCAAATTGGTGGCCATGGCCTGAAAATACCGGTTTGGGCATTCACAACATCGAAAAATGCTTTAATTCGGAGATATGGAATTTCAAACTTGCAGTTTTCGGATTCTAAGGGGCTAATGCATTGGTATGCCCCCTTAGAATTTGTGACGTCAGCGGAGATCTAACGATTTTTAAATCTTTTACTAAAACGATTGGCAGCACGCGGTGGTATATGCTGCTTTGCGCGCAACAAATGCCGCACTTTCAAATAAAGTCGCTAGGAACAGCGGAGATCCCAAAAAGTAAACAAAAGTAAAAGTCAAATATCTTGAAAACCGGTGAATATTTTTCGATGAAATTTGGTAGATATTCATTTTTGCTCTTTCTGAACCGAGCGACATCACTTTCATGCCAATTCATTAACTTTTTTGAAGGTGGGAGGGTCCCTTTAAACGCTACACAAATTACACGATACATTTGCAAGACGTTGGAACAAGCCGATTGATTGAAGGTACCAAAGTTTGGTTATAAAACTGGAACGAACATGGTAGCTAATGAGAAACCTACTTAACACTAAGCTCGTTCGTTAACAGCCTTCCAGCAAGCCAGCACAATAAAAGTTTCAACCACTTGCCGCTTCACTTAAGTCCACTGTCCAATACCGGTAGCAACGCGCATTTCTCGGAAACAAGGAATCGCCAAATGAATTTGGAAGCCTTAGAAGTGATTTTCATAAATGACGCAGATAAGACAACAATTGCGCAAACAGACATGAAACCAAGGCTATAAACCCATGAAACAGAATAACCTCGTGGGAGCCTGACCGCGGGATCATCGCATTGCAGTTCAATGGCGGAAATCCAAGCGAAGGTGGGATCGCTTAGGAGTTAGAAATATTGAAAAAGAAGACGTGACAAAAGACAGATCAGATAATGAGATGGCAAAATCAAATTTACATTCAAATAACACCATCAACGAGGAAACTGGAAACAAGATCATGGTTGCCTGCCATTTGATGCGATAGTATTGTTTGATTTTGGGGGGAGAGCATTCAGCACGCAAGGCTATATCAATATAAGTTTCAGCACGGGAGCATTCTAGGCTAAAGGTAAGCATCAGTGTAGTCAGCATAGTAGGTACAATGCCTCTGAATTTAGGCGATGAGACCGGAGCAGAAGGAGGATATTACCTAATTGCCCAGGCCCTTTTGCACCCTAGGGTCAAAATTGATATCCACCTAGAACATTGGGAACCTAACATTAGGGCAGATGTAGCACAAGCAGGCATATGCTGTGGAATGAATAAAGTTGCTATAGGCTTGCGCCCATGGTGGGCTTCAAGCCAGGGACCTTCAGATTTGAAGTGTGTCCATGCTGCTGTGACATGGTGACCAACAGTTTTTTACCCTCTCCTCTTCTTGCTCCTGCTGTGAGCTGGTCCCCCCTCTCGCAGCACCTGGATTCGCCTCTGTGGATCTCCCCAGGCTGTGAAATAATGCCAATAAAGAGTCAAGCCTTAAGTGACTATCCACTTCACAGCATATGCCCGATTGGGGCTTGTGCTACATCTGCCTTACCAATGCTGAACATCATTCATACCATCATTTAATGCTTAAAAATCAGGTGCACCACAAGCAGAAATAAAACCTTATCTATCCTGACATAACCTTACCTAATGTAACATAGGTACCTAATGAAAGGCCTGTCCAGGCATGGGTTGAAATTGATTGATGCCCAGAGGGGTCCTGAGAGTCTAGTGACCATGTCTGCAGTACTTCAGGAGATACCAATGGAAAAGGAAGGAGCCGTTTTGCCCCCACCCCCACCCCTACCCCTCTGGGCGCGGGTAAACGTGCGCACGTAGCTACGCACTGCCGGTCCCCCTCACTGACTTCGGCTGGATATGGTCTGCAGGCTGCAACCGACTGCAACAATCCGGTCGGCCG